ATTATTTCCTTTAGATTTGAAATGGATCCCATCAAGGGCGGACCTAATCTTGAGAGGAGTTATATAGGCACAAACTCTACCCTCCTCTCAAAAGACTTCCATAATTTTAAAGTCTTGCAATTATGAACTTTACCTATTAAAATCAACATGATACACAGAACCTTTTAATTTTATGCCCTATTACTCAAAAATAGAATAGACCTTATCCAATACTAGATTTTGGTTCAACTCCTTGTTTCTATAATTCAAATATCAAAAAAAAATTTTGTCGTAAACAAAAATTGATATATCTTATTAGACATTTTTCAAAAGTGTAGCAGGTCTGTGGTAGCTTCGTCCATGATGTCTATGTTAAGCTTCCTTTTCTAATATTTTTTTAGATACTACATTTATATTTTTTTGTTCAATATAAGACACCATGTGATTGTACCATTAAATGAGTAAATTTATATAATATGATAAGAAAATAATTGATATATATTTAATTTAATACATTTTATGACACTTATTTTAATTTAATTATTAAAATATAATATAAATATAATCAATTCAATTAGTTCATACATTTTATATGCATGATTACATTTTTAAATCTATTTGCTTTTAATTTTATATTCAATAATAATAATAATTTTTTAATAAATATATTTTTAATATGTTAAATTAGAGTGTATATTAATCAGTCCTACAATGATACATTATGTGGTGCTTCCCAAATATAAAGTGTTATGATTATAACTACTATTAAATTTGTTAAGGTCACCAAAAAGTATCAAATTTTTATCTTAATTTAATTGTTAAAAATAACTAATAACTAATAAAACAATTAATATTTATTATCTAACAAATTAAAAAAATTAGGGTTAATATTTATCTGCCTTATCTCCAAAAAATTAAGAGGAAAAAAAAACAAAAATTACCTTAATGCATGTTTTAAAAATAAAGTAATTTAGTCTTTTTCAATAAAAATTTATTAAAATGACGTAGTTTTAAGATGATTATCTTTAAGAGATAAGGCTGATAGACACTATTTCCAAAAAAAATTTATAAACAAATATTTTCAAATATCATAATTAATTATTTTAAAAAATTAATTAATTAAATTAATGATAACAACCTGAACCACATAGAGTTATCATATAACACTAAGTTAGTTATCACGTAACATTATAATTGATATTTTGTGATGCAGAACGTGATAATATCCAGAAAATAGAGCAGTGCTAGGGACAATCGCCCCTCGCACTCGCCAATCAACACCTCCCCATCTATTCAGCCACATCACCTTGCTTTTGAAAGATAGATCGGAAACTGTTGAAAAAAATTGTGCAACAATGATCTGCTTCCTCTACAATCTATAATTTATGATTAGGTATGATCTTAGCAAACTCAAAAGTATCTTCAACTGGGATTTACTTGGTCAGCAATTCCATGGATTGTCAAGACCATTAGAAATAAATAGCATGTTGGCAACCACTAACTGATTAGCATCAACTAAGCATACTGACAATCTAATATACCAGAAAAATGAAAGTAAATAGCTAATAACCAAGCCTTTGTCTGAAGATAAAAATGGGTAGTCAACAAATTTTCAAGAAAGGATCAGTATTTTATAGTTTATATAATTCCAAGTGAAACCTCTCCTTTACCAAAAAGAGAGAAACCTTCTGGAAAAAATCTAATCCCAATATGTGTTAAGAGAAAATGCCTTAGAAAAACCCATTTAGGCAATTCTACAAACACATGGTGTGCATAGCTTAAAGAGACGCTAAACCCCCCGAACTCATCTAATCAAAACTCAAAAATTTATTTCCTATTATCTACCAGTTCATTTCGAGAAACTTCATCAATAACTTCAATCGCACATGTTACCCAAACACTACGATTAATCATAATATTTACCTTAATTAACCATCCATTTGAGCCTAAGAAAAGCTTCCTCTGCTTAATTTCTCCATAAATTGAGAGCTCTAGGATATTGATTGGACCAAGGATTGATTTCGTAGATGAAATCGTGGCTTGCTTGCACCACTTGAAACAATTTAGGACCAATTTACTTTCTCAACAAGATTTCGAAAGAAAGAAACAGATAACAATTGCATAAGTACAAATCCCCATAGAATGAATCCAAAAGGAGATTAAGAGGAAATTTCCAATGGGAGAAATCCCCATGAGAAATCGAAGAAGAAATCGAAAAGTGAATTGAAAAAGAAAAATTATTTGAGACGAGGCACTGGTGGGGTAGTAAGGAAGCAAAAGAAAAGAACGACAAAGGTTGAAACCGGTCTTATGGGCAAAACCCCAAATCCACCCTTAAAAAGTGGGTAGGATATATTCATCCCTAAAAAAAAAAGCATATGAATAAATTACGTGGTTAATAAAATTTATTAAAGAAAATGAGTGATTTATATTAATTTATAATTTAAAAAAATAATTTACCCTCATATTTTTATATAAAGTATATTTAACCATTCTCAATTTTTTGTAAGGGTGGATTTAGGGTTTTGTGTTTCTATTTTGTTTTGATTTTTTTTTAAAAAAAAAGCTAGGTCAAAGGATAACATGGCAAGCCCACCATTTAAGTAAAGATAAAATTAAATATAAATATTTAATGCATTATTTAAATAAAAAATAAAATAACTAAATCAAATTACTTTTATTTAAAAAAATTAAACAGCTAAATTGAATTGAAAGATAATCCGAATTGAAAGATAATCCAAACTACCAAAACACAGAACTCATTTTAAATAGGGTATTTTTTTGCCCAAAAATTATGTGATTAATTTAGTTTTATCAACTAATAACAAAAAAAAAAATGGTCAAGACCACAATAAACGGCGAAAAAGACATGTGATGTGAACTCAACCGGGTGGGGTAGACATAAACTATTTACTATTTATCCACCTTGGCAGTGGCAGAGCACCAACCATTTACTAAAATCCAATTGGGCTTGTAGTTGGACAATTCAGATCCAACTCAAAACGGGCGCTTTGTTGTTCAACTTAGGTGGGGAGAATTCCAGTGAAGATTAAGAATTGAATTTTTTCTTTTAATTTTATTTTATGTGTGTTGGAAACTGACTAACTGGTTTATGTATTTGATTCTTTATGTATTTGCGTTTTTTATTAGTACATCTTCATTTATTTGCTTTTGTTGCTGAATCAGTTTGATGATAATTTATCATGTGCTTGAGGATGGTGTTCTAGATGTTGTCTATATTTCAACTCCCATATATCATGCCTGCCCAACTGAAATCCTGTGGCGTGAAATATCTTAGATAAATGCAGGGGCTAGCTTTTGCACTGTTGGTAGAGACCCTGCTGGTATGGGCCATGAACTCGAGAAAAGAGATTCACATGATGCTTATTCACGGAGCAAGGTATCTATAGTTCTGG